CCCCCCCCTTCATGCACCTCAATTGGGGTACCTGGGGGGGGTAAGTTACATTTTTCGAGGGGGGGAGAGGAGGTCTGAAAATGTAAGTTACATTTTTCAGACCCCTCCCTCAAATCCATGGTTAAGGGGGTGGGGATCTAGTAACAATAAGCTACTAGTAACAAAGGGCATCGCTACTAGGAGCAAGAAGCTAGTAGCTCCTGGCATTGCTACTAGTAACAAGAAGCTACTGGTAGCAAAGGGCATCGCTACTAGGAGCAAGAAACTAGTAGCTGATGGCATTGCTACTAGTAACAAGATGCTACTAGTCAACTAGACGCCAGCAAATCCTACGAAAGCCGTGGAACAAACCCCGTCGCCCCGGTGTGCACATTCTCAAGTGGTCAGCTGTCTGGACATCGAGACATACGTCGAGACATACGTCCTCTATGCGCTTTGCTTTGCAAAGACAGCTGGTCGCATAGACACCTGGTTTACGTCCTCTATGTCGTTGGGTTCACCCTCTGCGCTGGTCCTCAGCCCAGGCCACTTCCCGAGTTCGCCCGAAGTCCCGAGTTCGCCGCCGAGTCGTTCGCACGGATGCCCAGCCGGTTCGAAGAGCCGGGCTCATTTGGGTATGTGAAAAGAGACATCAAGACACACCCAGGAACTCATTGACCAGGGTGTACCAGGGCTTTTGAGGGGAGCCATGGGCAGCCTATTTTTGAGCAAAGGGAGTCATAGTAGGAGCCAGAGCCATTTCTGTATTGTGTACTAACTAGCTGGTGATGCGTTGATCACATAAAAAAAAAACACAGGACCGGGCCCAACAGCGGTCAGGACGACTGCCAGCGTGGGTTCCAGCATCCATTTCACTGAGCGCCAACCTGAGGGCGGACATCCAAGACGAACGTCGCCGTCCGACGGCCCTGTGGGAGCAGACGACCCTTTAAGCTGCGTCTCACGCTGAGGCAGTCACCCACCTCTTTTGGTCCGTGGGCTCGAGAGCTTGGGGCCCAGACCAGAGGTGTCCGTCATCCAGAAAAATGATTGGCCACCCCCTCCCCCAAAAACTCAGACTAATGATGTCATCTCTGCGCAGCCTTTTGACCTACGAGCAGATTGGATGTTGCACATCTTCAGGTTTGCTTTTAAGCTATGAGACCTGAAATGACCTGAAAGAGATGTTCACCATTATTGTTATTATTGTCATTAGTGTCACTACTGTTAATAACATTTAATAATATGTCTAATTGTTCTTTTGCAAAGCCTCATTGAAACCTACATCCATCCAAACCGTTCATTATCCATGTTCAGTTCAAGGGCGTGCAAGCAGGATATCTTGAGGTCTACAACTACCATGATTATTTAACAGGTTTTGACGGGCCAGCTCCAGTTTTTTTTTGGGTGGAAAAAGTGATCATGTGGCCCACAACCCTATCTTGTGCACCTACGCCTACGCACACACACAGACACAGACACATAAACAATTGACACACAATCCCCAACCCGAAAAATCCTTGATCCATCTTGATCCGAGTTGGAACACTGCCGATCTCCGGGTCGCCACACTCTGTTCCACGGCTGCTTTCTGAACCTCTTCCTCTTGACGTACTGTGCTGCCCGCCAAGCGCAAGCACCTCCATCCGCCTCGAAATGGACCGCGGCTCCGCGCAACGGCGAGCAGCTCCGTTCCCGGGTTCCAATGGGTACCAGAATTGGTACCTACCAGATGCACTTGAACACTAGGTACAAATACACATCCTGCATCTGTGTGACACACCTTTCGAGCACTAAAATATGCACCCCGATGTGTTGTTCAAGCTGCTGATTTTAACCAATCTCGAGGTTTCTACCGTTCTGGTGCTGGGTGCCACCCACTCTCGCGGATCATCTCCAGCATGGCCTCCTTCTCGAAGCGTAGCTCTGCCTGGGTTGTGCAGGGAGCTCTGCGGTGATCCGATCGCAGGAATCAACTCCGATTGGCCGCGGTGGGCTGGGCCAGCCGCTGGCTTTTGTGAAACACATGGGCTGTTTGTTAGGTCGTTGCGGCTGGCTGTCTCTGAAAAGACTGCAGTTTCTTCGCCCAAGCTGTGTCCGTGTCAATATGCCACATCAAAAGCTCAGGTGCTGGACCTTTTCTGTAAGACTGAGCCCTGGGACTGGGCCCGGGGGAATGTCCTCGTGCAACGAAAAAAGCCATGCAGTCGTGGCACAGAAAATAGGGGTTTCAGTCAGAGTCAACGTGGCAGGGCAAACAGCGGAAGTCGCAGATAGAACAAATTGCATTCCATCCCCTCACCAAAACCCAGCTTGAAGAATACCCTTGAAGGCCCTGGATCTCGTCAGTCAACGCTTAAGCGTTGAAAAGTTTGGTCTTTCCCCTCCCTCTTGCTCCCATTTGCTCCCTGTGCCCCCCAAAACACGGGCACCTTGCGGGCAATGGAGAGCAGGCATTCCGTGGGAACCTGGTTGGGACCAACTTCGCGCCGGGGTCCTTTTGAATGTGCACCCCCATGTCCCTTTAGGCTTTTACTCGTTGTTTGATGGTGTTTGATGATTTACAATGGTGCCCATGTCGGTGGAGTTTTTTTTTCAACATGTGTTTTTGTTCGTATGTTTCGATGTAGGGTACGTTGCAGGTGGATCACTGGGCAGCCAAGGAAGAGGTTCCTGAGACCATCTCCAAGTGCCCCAGCAGCAGCAAGTTGATGATGTTCCAACCAACACAGAAACACTATATGAGACCAACCCTTTTCCTTCCTTAGGAAACGGTGTCCCTTTCAAAGGCTGCCAAGGGGGCACCCATGACATAGTGGTGTATCCATCCATCATTTTATTGTAGATTGTTAATTTAATACATATGTGTATATATATATATACACAGCTATATATATATATATATATATGTTCTTAGATTGATACACACCCTAGAAAGGTGCCATCTGGAGTCTCTCTTCATGTTCAAACACAAAACTTGGAAACAGCCACAGCAATCCACCCAAAAAAAACATCACGGTCAGAACCTGTGAGGCTCCCATGTTGGACCCCGTGGTGCCACCGACGCCTCCAGCTCTGCAGCCGCAGCGTCCGCCACCTGCGGGCGTCACCGGGGCGCGCTTGTTGACGCGTAACCGGGCGCTCTTTCTCTCGTTCCTTTGGCGTTTTGGATGACCGTCGGTGACCGTCGGTTCCTACGTTCGGTGACCGTCGGTGACCGTCGTTTTTTTCGAGAAAGACACCTGGTGGTGCTCATGATATTCAATGTTCTGGAAAGTGGCTGAGAACAGGCGCTTTTTCCCCATAGCATGGTGGCTTTAAAAAAGGAAGGCGCCCCGAGGTGGTCAGATGCAAAAAACAAAATATTATGGAATCGTAGGGAGAGGAAATGATGAGATGACAAGAGATAATAATGCTACAAAGCACCTCTTGGATTCGGGCCGTTTCAGGCCTCGGGGTTGCTCTGCGTGATCGCGATGGCGAAATCCACATCGCTTCTGAGGTGCCTGGGGGGCGAACGAAACGGACGACACGTCCGCACCCATTTGGTGCGAACGCCTCGGGAAAGCATGGCCTTGCCAACTAGTAGCTCCGGGCATCGCCACTAGTAGCAAGAAGCTACTAGTAGCTTCTTGGACATCGCTACTAGTAACAAGTGCATGGCTACTACAAATACGCCTTGCCAATGGTTGATGGGTCCACCTTTGCTTTTGCCAATGGTTGGATTGACTGGGGTGTGCTGAGAGATTCATGGGAGCAGTTAGGTTCCCAATGAACAAGTACACAATTTCTGGGTTCTGAACTGAGAGATCAAGAGATGTTGGAAAGCCTCTGGGAGACTGCACATCCCCCTAGCTGAATACTCAAACAACGGGTATGTGATGTTCAATGTTCAACATTGTTCAACAGTGGCTGCTGAGCCAAGTGGTTCGTATGGATCCTTGCAAAGCCTGGTCAACACAGCTTCTGTCACCTAGGCAGTCGCCCCAAAAATGAGAGTTGCTACAATATCCTCGCACATTCAAAGCCACCCAGTGCACCCAAAATTTGATCTGTCCAAGCCCCACCGAACACTGCTACCTCTCCTGCTTGTGCCCCTCAGTGCCCCTGCTTGTCGACGAACTGCAGAGCCTCTGTGGTTTGCTTCACCGCCTCCAATGAGTCAAATCAGTTCGAGTGAGTTGGAGACTCCAATCGTCCAAGACTCCAAGGGGAGTGATGTTTTTGGCACCCATTCAGGAATTCAAACATCATAACACCTGTCGTTCTCTTGGAAATTCTGCTGATACCGTCCGCCAGCGGGACACAGGACGCATCTAAAGACTGATGAGTGTGGTGTTGTTATATTGCTTGGCCTGCTTGGTCAAGAGAACAAATTGTGGTGTAGTTTGGTGGGGTCAAGCTACAAAGAACCCCCACCAGAAACCAATGAGTTCCGCCAAATGTAACAAGGTTCCAAGTCAGTTTTGATCTTGCCAACTTTTGATTGGATAGCCCTTCATGGATGTTGTTTCTGGTTTCCACACCACAGGGATTCCGTGTAACATCGTATAACAAATGGGTTTGCAGCGAAGCATGCAAACTCTTCAGCGTGTCCACCACTGCCCACTGCGATGCTTTTCATGCGTGGATCACGGGTGTTCGCGCAAGTCAGTCGAAAAGGCTCGGATTGAGAGCCGCTCGCTGTGCCCTGCGCAGCGCCGCCGTGCCATGGGCGAGGCAAACTTAGAACTCATCGCCATAGCCCTCCTCTTCGCCTTTCAAGTGGCAAAGTTGACCATCGGGAATCGTTGGGACTTGTTCAGTTTTTGGACGCATTTTTTGGACACGTGTCAATGACATTCAATGACACTATATGTAATGACACATGTCACCACCGAAACGGGCATGAGTCATGATGATATGTTATCCTCGCTCGAAACAGAAATTCTGGGCAACGAAGCTAACGATGGCTGAGCTGGAGAGCTGGATTCGAATGAACACAACACCCCCGTACGCCCCACACCCTGTCCTTCGCCCTCCGCGGTTTCAATGCCAACCTCTTCGTAGTCTTTCCTCAAGAGAGAAGCACTTGACTTCGCACAGGCAAACAGCTGCTACTATACTCATCCTGGGGTTGATGTATTGTAAGGAACATGTAAAGAACCATGCTTTTTTGCTATTGGTTGTTGTACATACGCTTCCAGTCCGCATGAATGCTTGCAATTGAATCCTGTCTTCAAATGGTGGGCACACTGACATTGCTCCTCCAAGAAAATGGAACAGCTGGCAGCCAGAGTGCTGAAATTCCTACGTGACCCTGAACAAGGAACCCAACTCACGTGAGTCGCGGATCCTGCGGTACAGCACGCGTGTGCTCACCAAACAAGCTTTTTACAACATGGTCATAGCACGGGGAAGCTGCACTTTTGAAGGAGTTCCACCGATACTGCGACTTGCCCTTCCCCTCCAATCGTTTCGTCAAAACAAGTGAATTGCGAGCACAATGCCCTGAAAAGGTCGACGAAGTTTTCTGTTCGACACACCCTGACACTATCGCCCCAAAAAATGGCACCCTGACTGGGGGATTCTTAACCAGAAGGATACTACCGAGTCTCCCACGAACAGGCAGGCGGTTGGGAAGAGTCTAGGTCGTCCAAATGATCAACACAAACCAAACAGTGAAGCGAAAGATGTTAAATATACAGTGTATAATATATATAATATACAACAGAAAAATACAACGAACATCATTAAGCTGACCCTCTTTCTTGAGATTATCAGTCTGTTCCTTTTTACATTTCTATACAGGTCTCCCGTCTCTCTCGTCTCTTCCGACCCCCCAAACAAAATGGCGAACCAACGAACACCTCTTCGCGGATCAGTGGGGCGGCCACCACCGGGCCGTCGTCCGGTCGTCGCTCGCTTCGGTCGTCCCAGCGACTCCAAGGCAGCCAGGTCCTCACGAGCCTCCGAGAACTCGCCTTCCTCCATGCCTGTGGAGGGCGCTGGAGCTCGCCGCTCGAGAGGTCACTCACCGGTGTCTTCCACATGTGTCCCACAGAGATGGAAGATCAGCCCACGGAGATGGGGTGGAACATGGCTGGACGACATGGCTGGCCCACATGCCATACACCGTAGCTTGAAAACGAAGAGCTGGGGGTTGGTTCCCTCTTGGATGGACCACTAGGTGAATCCCTTGGACCGCACGTGAATCCGCAGGGTGGACGGTGGCTTCGCTCTTGAGGGCACCAAGCTACTGTGGCGGGGGCGGGGTGACCAGAGAAGGTCCCCGAGGGTGGTCCAAAGGATGGATGTTCTCCAAGCTCCAAACCTTCCAGTTGGATCAAAAACCATCGACTCCATCGGATGGCGGACGCCCCTTTTTCGGCCCCTTCTTTCGCCCCCGGTCAACGAACGCTTGGGCCTTCGCCCACGTAGTGATGGACAAAGGCGCGCTTGCTGTACCTGAGGTGGCGAAAATGGCGACTGAAGTCGCTCCGTCACCAGCGGAAACAGTGCCAAAACACGTCTGAGAAAGAGAAGCGGCCCAGACTTGAGTACTCCTGAGGCACTCCTGGCACTTCTGCACTTCTCGTTTCTCCGCACACGGCACTGACGGAGACGAACGTGACGGGGCACATGAGGTCAAACTTGTGGTCAATGCGAGAGAAGACCTCTGCAATGGCCTTAGGACGAGACCCATGTTCGAGAATCGCACCGATACCTGGTTGGACTGGATCTAGTTCTACGCTGGTCCACCCAAACAGTGGCTGGACCCTTTTGTAGAAGGGAAAATCATGGACAGTCACCCCTTTCTGAGACACACCCCAGAAGTGAATTGCTCAAAAAAAAAACACACCGCAGCTCGTCCGTTTGGTCCGAGGAAGGCACCGTGGAGTTGGAGATCATGCAGCACGCACGCATGACCTTGGCCAGATCGCCGCCCGGCACCACGGTCGGTGGCTGGTAGTTGATGCCGCACCTCAGGACGCAGCCGTGTCCCCGGGAAAGACGGCCGAAACCCGGTACGGTGCGGTGTCCCAGCACTGAAAGGGGCTTTAGCTGTCGAGGTGAGAATGAAGTGGTAGGAACGGTTGGGATAGTAAGGAGAGATATAAGTCTTATAAGTAGTGAACAAAAAGCCGTTTACTGTATATATTCCCGCAACCCCGTGTGGACACTTTTTGGTGTCCACTTCAACCTTTTTGGCCGGATTTGGGTGTATGACAGCATTTTCCCTCCATATCCAAATCTTGGGCCGTATCTGCCTAAACGAAAGAAACCAGCATCATGCTGCAAAGTCATCGCAGTTTAACGACTTTGGGGGCTTTTGCTTTCAGTATATACTATACATCTTTTAAAGAGTTTTGAAGTCTTTGTGTGCAAGCAAATTTATATACAGCTGCGTATGCGGTAGTCAATAAAGCCGGTCAAGTGACACACACTGGAAGAGTGAAGCGTTGGGGGCTCTCCAGTTATGCGGCGGAGTTATGGACGC